GATAGAGAGATAGAGATAGATAGATAGGTATAGAAATAGACAGACAGACAGACAGACAGAGGCAGATGGATAGATATGTCTCCCGTTCCTTTTATATTTCTATACAGATATAGATCTTCCTTTATTACTGCATTCCTTCCCTCCATCATATACTGGTCTACAATCATAATAAAAATCAGGATTTCCAGGCATTTTTCAGGGGGAAAAATGATCTGTTGAATTTGTCCAGGATTCTGAAAGACCTATCTCAGACAAGGTCTCAATTCCGGATTCTGGTTCTTAAATCTTTGGTTAGATATGCAGGATTCGCCTGTTCTCACAACCCAAACCCCATCTCCACCAGGCTTAAACATTGGACCCTCAAGTCGTAGATGAAGGACATGAAGTTTGATTATAACAATGAAAAACTGCACAAAAGGAGCTCAGTTTATGGGACAGCTTCCCAACGGAAGTCTTATTGTCTGCAATTTGGAAGGGGGGGGGATAAGTCATCAGTGCTGATGAACAAGATTGTTGTAAATGGAAGATCTTACAGGCTGAATGTATCAGAAAAAAAAGAAAAGGAGCTCTCTTTACTAGGAATTATCTTATTGATCCATCCATAATTCGATATCTTTGAAAATAATCATTTTCAGATATATATATGTTCCCCTCTTACAGTATATAAATGTTCCAAAATTATCATATTGGATAAACTCTCTAATGAATCTTTCCAGCTATCCAGCCCTTCTGTTACAGAATCTATAACAAAAGGTTTTGGGCCATGATCTGGGCGCCTCCATGTCTTTAACTCCTTGCCCCTTCATCCCTTGTTGGTTTTCCTTCTTTCTGAGAGAGAGGAGACCATGAGATGGTTGGAAGGAGACAGGAAATTGTGAAATTATGAACCTTTGAAGGTTGGGAACTTTGGAGGAGAGTTGCTAAGATTTTGAGTGGATCTAGAGCACGGGTGTCAAACTTGCTACGTTTTTCCCCTTCGCGGAGCTGGGGTGGGCGTGGCCTGTACATGACCCATCCGGCCCGCGGGCCGCCAGTTTGACACCCTGGTCTAGAGGATCCTCACTAGATATTGTTTTGTTTTAAGGGTTATTCTGACTCATTTGGGGCCCACAGACAAGTACGCAGCCATGGGGCTGTTTAGCATCCTGAAACCGCTCCCTTCCTTTTGGAAATTTAATCATTTTATTCCTGTTTTTTAAGTTATTTTTTAATATGCGTATAAAGCTTTTTTTTCCCCTTTTTATATCTATTTGTATACAAAGTCCAGGTTCGCTTTCTGAGGGAGACGGGTGATTTCTAAATATAAATGATAGATTTCAAAATCTCTGTGTCTGTCCTCAGCCAAATTTCCCCAGAGTCCCTCTTTGACTTTCAAAATTCCTTCCTTCTACTGTTACTTGAGTCGTGATGGCCTTCTTGAGGATGGCCGTCAGTTTGAGGACCAGTTCCTTGAGGAAACTGTGTGTATCAAGGACTCCACGGTGCTTTTCAAGTATAGTTTGTCTACTAGACAAAGACCTCTCAGATTGAGCCACAATGACTTGAAGCCCTTCCTGTTGTCATCTGCCTGACGATACCATGACATGTTGTGTTATTGTCACTTCCCCCATTGCCATCCCAGCGGATATCCATGAATAAAACCAGTTATAAACTTTGAAGGTCACAAGGGTTGTTGTCTGCCTTTTATGTAAATGTAATCTCCCCTTCCTCCTTTTATTTTATTTTCCTTCTCTCCTTCCCTTCCCTCCTTTTCTTTCCTTTTCTTTTCTCCTTCCCTTTCTCCTTTTATTTTATTTTCCTTTCTTCTCTCCTTCTCTTCGCTTCCCTTTCTCCTTTTATTTTATTTCCTTTCTTCTCCTCTTCCCTTCCTCCTTTTATTTTATTTTTCTTTCTTTTCTCATTCCCTTCCCTCCTTTTCTTTTCTTCTCCCCTTCCTCATTTTATTTGATTTTTCTTTCTTTTCTATTTCTCTTCCCTCCTTTTTTCTTTTCCCCTTTCTCCTTTTATTTTCCTTTCTTCTCCCTTTCTCTTCCCTCCTTTTCTTTTCCCCTTTCTCCTTTTATTTTATTTTTCTTTTTTCTCCTCTTCCCTTCCCTTCCTCCTTTTATTTTATTTTTCTTTCTTTTCTCCTTCCCTTCCCTCCTTTTATTTTCTTCTCCCCTTCCCTTCCTCCTTTTATTCTATTTTCCTTTCTTCTCCCCGTCCCTTCCCTCCTTTCTTTTCCCCTTCCCTTCCCTTTCTCCTTCCCTTCCCTCCTTTTCTTTTCTTTCCCTTTCTTCTTCCCTTCCCTTATTTCCTTTCTTTTCTTTTCCCCTTCCCTTCCCTTTCTCCTTCCCTTCCCTCCTTTTCTTTTCTTTCCCTTTCTTCTTCCCTTCCCTTATTTCCTTTCTTTTCTTTTCCCCTTCCCTTTCTTCTCACCTTTTCCCTCATCTTCCCTTCTCTTTTCCCTCCCCCTCCCCTTCCTTTCCTCCCTCCCTCCCTCCCTCCCTCCCTCCCTCCCTCCCTC